TGGTTTCAGCCGCAAAAATTACTGATGCTGACCTTGATATTGTCATTGTCTTGGCAGAAATCAGCATAAAATTCGGCCTGCCGTTGGAACCTAGCCAGAATATCAACCTAAGTAGTAGAATTCGTGATTGGCCACGTCCATGAATTTCTTGCCCCATGGCTGAATTGGCTCGAGGACCAGCTTTATACTTCACAAAGCACATCACTCCAATCCACAGCTCACCCGCTCATAAAGTAAGAGCTCAAACACTTGGCAAAATGCATGGTCAAGATTCATAGTTGAAAGGAGAAGGAAGGAGGAGAATTGGAAGAGTTTCGCATGTGTCTAAGCAGTTCTACCACAAGCCATGTCCCTAAGCAGTTCTGTATTCAATTTTCTTGCTCACTGGTAAATAGTCCGTGTGGTTTGCTTAGGAGACCTCTGCGCAGAGGGAAATATCCTGCCGTCTCCAAGGAAGAATTTGTCCTTGAAGAAGAACATAAGGAAGAACATGTCTTGGTGTCTTTGCAGTAGAAGGGCATGGTTTCAATTGCCATTTTCTTTGCTTGCCCCGCAGTTCTTTGCCTTGGGTGGCACACACTTGTCCCTTGGAAGACACAAATATCCCTTTGCCTATGTACCTACTAAACAAGCTGGGGGAACTACACAGTAGCATCTCGCCTGCAAACGAGAATGGTTGATTTTACTCACAGTCTTCCTTCCACCGTTCACGATCAGTGTTCAGATGCATGCAATCTTCAAAGATCAACTGCACCAGACGCAAAAGGAAAAAGTTATAAGTACCTCCCACAAGATATCATATACTTGGTAGAGGATCATGTCGCATAGCTCAGGTGGAAAATCTCTGTGCTTGCTGGTTATAACTTGCTCGTCCTGGGATGTCGGACCCAAAAACTGTCCCTTCCAAGCTCTCAGTGTTCTCACCGAGAAACGGGACATGCCGGATTCCTTCCACTGTGCATTCTCGCACAGTATCACAAAGTTGCTGCTGAATTCCTCGCCAAAGACAGTGGCAACGGCGTGGAGGAGCCGATCCCGTTCCTTGCTGGATTCCGCTCCTAGAGACTGGGCGTGCTCCACAATCGACTTCTTGGTCGTGGAGCAAAGTTCCAGGAGCATGGCATGGTCGCTCTGTCCTTTCCTTGTCAGCATCCAGCCATACAGAAGCTGGCCAACCAACACGCTTGCATCCACTGTGATAAAACCAGCACCGTGAGAATTGCGGTGGGATGACGAGTGCACAGAAATCCAGTGGTTGAGACGCTCGCAAATGCTTGCGTCCCATGATTCGTGTTCTCCAGCAGCCATGAGCTCCTGGACAAAAAAAAAAAACAAGCGAGACTTTTCGATTAGAAACAGCACCATCGTTTTCGTTTGGACAACTTACCTCCAATATCTGCGGAACACCAAAGCTGACGTCCACAGACTTCCACTCTATCCGCGGGAGTTCATGGAAAAGATCGTTGCACCACTTGATCCACTTCAAACTAAGCGGCACGAGGCTACTAGCGTAAGTGTGTAGAAGCAAGAGCATAGCTTGTCATGCTGCCCGCCATCGCCGGCTATGGCTTGAGCTTTCAAAGCGTCAAGCCACTCGATGATGCTTTGGAGCTGAAGCAGCAGCCAGGTGAAAAAGAGGCTACTCACTGGGTCGCTCACGTTGAACAGAGAAGCGACGTTTATAAGGCACGTAGATGTGGGGGTGGAGGGAATCCGTTTTGCGATGCTCACAACATATAAAAAGAGTGAAAAAAAAAGAGTTAATCTTGAAAGTTAGCACAGGAAAAAGGGAAGAAATGCATACTTCCAACTTCTGATGCCATTAATTCACTGGCTTGGAAAGTCGATTGATCGAGCTGCAAGGGAGAGTTAGAATCTGCTTCCAGGAAAAGGAAAAAATAGAAAGGAGAAAAGCTCACCTCAGCAAGCCTGGTTACAGTGGAGGAGCAAAGAAGGGTGGAGAAGAGCAATCGCGATTCTGGGCGCGATTGCTGCCGCCAACTACAATCTTGTCGCTGGCGCCTGAAGTAGTCAGTGGCGATGAAGAGGAGAAAGAAGGCGTCTGGCACAGGAGCGCTAAGAACACGAGCAATGGCCACGCTCCAGTGGAACCTTCCACTTGAGCTCAGACACAGTACACGAGACTGTCCCGTCGGGCATGACATCGAAAAACCACGCCCCCGCCGGGCGATCCATCTCGAGCCCAAACCGATCGAACGCTTAGCAATGACGTGAGGTTTTCTTATGGTGACATGAGCTATTGCTAGTGTAACGATGATAAACGGAGTCCATGGCAGGAGTTTGTGTTTGCAATGAGTTATGATGCCAGTCATGCTCCAGGCCGCCTCTTACTGTCTCTCTCTTCCAATCTTTACTCTTTCTAAGTCCTGCAGCATTGAGATGCTTTGGCTGGATGGTCGGTATGCTCTAGATAACACTTTATTCTTAGAGCTTCATGATGCGGATTCAGTGAGCGTTTGCATGATGTTAAACTTTCTTTGTAGATACTGCCTATCATTTGTGCATTCGAGGTTGAGCCAGGAATCACTAATGGAATGATACGGTTTTTCTCAATAATTTTTGGACTGACGGACTGGCCTTTTGTGCGGGCTTGATCAGGCTTGGACAACTTTAACTCAAAGTGCAAGTATACTTCAGATGTTTAGTTCTCCTTGGCTCGCGAGTAAAGTTACACAATTTTTTTTATATATCCCAACACGCTCAGCCTGGAGTGGCAGGTGACCATGCAGTAGTGAGAGATGTGATTTGGTGACGATTGCGAGAGACGTGATTTAGTGAGGATTAGAGAATGGAGATCACCTCGTGATTTGTCTATCTGGAGGGTAGTTATGGAGCTTTGATATAATTGAGATTCTATTTAAAATGGATTTAACTGAACCCTTAAAAATGCCATGTCATTAATATAATTTTTGCCAACTTATTTTATTGAATTATTCAGGCATCGGGGGGACACCATATTCCCCCCTTCCCCCCAATTTCACTGCCATGTCACTAATGGGGTGCATGGAATAAGGGGTTAAAAATTTCCACCCTCGAAAAACTTCCCCTAGGGGGATGTATAGAACCCCACCCTTAGGTTTACTTTTGGGATGGTAGCTACTTTGGTATGTGGTGTCCAATGTAAGTATCCATGTCAAAGGCATACTTGAAAACTAACTCATGATTTCCATGCATCCCCTTAATTTATGAAAACTTTGTCATTAATTTTCTTCTTCTTCTGCTTACTAATTTTTCTATTGTGACAACATAAGCTTAGCAACAGTAAAAGTTCAAGCATTAGGAGTTTATTTCTCATCTGTTCAAAATACTTTATAGCAAGCTCTTTTATCCCTATTATCAAACTTTTTTTTTCTCTGAATCCATAATAGCAACTCACATTTAAATGTGCAATTATGTTTTGAATCGCAGACCTTTGTTCAAAAAACTTCCATATAAAAAATTCAATTAAAAATTATGGATTATCAAAATGAAATTCATGAAACTTTATTCAATTTAGAATTGCATGATAAATTTTTTTCTAAAATCATTTATAAAATATTGCATTTATTAATCAAGCTCGAGAATAGGCCTAAGCTCAAAGGTGAGCCCCAAACTCGAACTAAAGAACCTAGACCCAATAGATGCATGCTCTTTGTGTTCACCACATACCAAAATACCAAAATGAGGAAATGAATTGAATCATTGGATTAGCCAATTAAGCACTTGGCATCAACCACTTGGACATCCAAGGCTTCTATTAGAGCCTCTTGATCCATATGCAAATTGAGCAACTCAGTAAAAGAGAGGAGAGATTAAAAAAAAAAAAAAGTCAATACCTGAGTGTTCCATGAGCTCCATGAGTAGGATGTTTGGATCATTGCCTATGATCTAAACAAACTAATTATTCTTGCAAGCAAAAAAAAGAAGACAAAAATAAAACTCATAGAATCAGTGCTTTATGGTTTGCTTGCAAACCAGATAGTCTTGCAAAAGAAAAAGACAAAAAAAAAAACTAGTCTGGACATCCAAAAACTCTTCAACATATCAATCAAGCTTGTCTCCATAAAATCATCTTTGTTCCTCATCGTCAACCCTGAATCAATCACATTGCCACACACCTAATTGCAGAGATGAAACTATGAATTTCTAGAGTGATCTCCCATTATCCACATAGCTCAGCATCAAGAAACGATGCTGTGCCAGGGCATGCAATTGATGGAAGAGGAGGGTGCCTCTCATATTCGATCATTACACGCCTACTGTTTATCTACTATTCAAGTCAATCTACCCTAATGCAAACCATAATTTCTGTGTTTCTATACTGGAGAGCAGGACAGAAAGACATGTACACAAGACAAGAAGCACGAAGATTTGTGTTACAGCCCACGCATAGATTCCAGTCACAGGTGAATGGAAGAATGTTTTGCGAAATTCTATTTATCTCTCTATTATGCTACTTTGATAGTCTTGATGTGCCCAATGTGGAGCAACTTTCCTCTTGTGCACTGACCCAGACAATGGCATCACAAACTAGAACACCAAACAAGCCTTTGACACGCTAAAGTTCCACCTGTTAGCTCTTTATACAAGTCAAGCTGACCTCCCACAAGACATTTGGGAGATGCTGAAGGCCCCATGCCCCTTGATTCAGTTGGGAGCGCAAACATTTTGTATTGATTTTCAGATTTTGGGGTTTATTCTTTTAATTGGCTTCACCACCAAACACGAAGAATTGTTGCACAAGGAAGCAGAGAAATCGAATCCATCACATTGTTGATCTATGATAAGAAAAGTCCAATCGAAAGAAAATTTCCAAAAGATAACATTCATTAGTGGCTAATCAATTTTATTGCCTTTCACTTGACGGGGGCAAGACGTTCGCGTCGGTTGTTCATGAACTTCTTTGCGTGGGGTAAAAACTAAAAGCTCAAAAGTCCTTTTTACAGTAATTCTTACGGCCGGCCGTACTTCGGCCTGCCATTGGTTACCGCTTAATGGCTTCCGAATACAGCCGACTTTTGCTATTGCGTGGTCAAATCTTGCTGGCCTGTTGATGGAAGCAGGGGACTACGAAAGAGCTCTTGCTTATTATCAGGTTGGAAAACGCAAAGTTTATGTTTTCTGAATTTTTATCCATGCAGGAGGCTATTCGATTAAAGCCAAACTTTGCGGACGCTCATTTGAATCTTGGGAACGCCTTGAAAGTAAGTTGTGTGACTAGTAAGCGATCTAAAGATTGTGGTTTTTTAGAATCTTGGTAAAGCTCAGGAGTCCTACTTGCGAGCCATTCAACTCCGGCCAGACTATGCAGTTGCGTACGGAACGCGCTACTTTCCAAGCTTTCTGAATGCGTCCTGGTCGAGCTTGAGTGTGGAGTCAGACAGTGATCCCTGGCAATAGTGGTCTAACTGGCTGCGTTTCCTTGTTTTTGATCATGAAGATGCGCGGGCTGGAGGCCATCCTGGAAGCATTTAAAGGGCTTCCTTGAAGACATTGTGTTTGACCGAATTCCTAAATGCTAGGCGGTGAAGGTTGTAGCTGCAAAAACGATTGTTCGGACACATGTGACTGTGTTCAGAAGACCCTCGCATCATTCAGGACGTTTGGCAAGTCTTGTTCAATGTGTTCGAATGTGGACCATGGTGCAGCTGCTCATCGAAGTGCCGCAACAAGAGCTCTCAAAGGGGGATACAGAAAAAACTTGCGATTTTCAAGAGCTCTCAAAAAAAACTTGCGATTTTCAGGACTGAGGGCAAAGGCGCGCAGAAGAAGCCATTCCCAGAGGCAGTTTCGTATGCAAATATGTGGTGAGGTGCTTGAAGACAAGGGCTCGCCTTCCACTTACAAGTTTGCAATTGGACCAGAACTTGTGATAGATGCGGAAAAGTACGGCAACGTGGCCAGGTTCGTCAACCATAGTTGTGATGGTGGCAACGTCCACATTGAGTGTGTGTAGGTTGAGGCACATAACAATGTTTGCCGCCAAAGATATTGCAGCCGGCGAAGAGTTGACATTTGACTACTCGGGTGGTGAGGGGCGATATATTTTTTATGGAGATTGTTGTTGCGGTTCTGGTGTCGAGTTGATCAAATGGATGAATCAAGCTGTAGACCTCTGTCTATATCTGTTTTGATGATGACAATGGACTTGGGAACAAGTTACTACAAACGACATATGGAATGATAGTGATAATAGTTTGTGACCACACCACCTCATGCTATCATTGTACAGCCGGGCTGCGACGTAGGAACGCCACGGCAGACTTCTGGATGAAGGATAAGGAGGAACACTGAGTCTGACCTGCCAGCCACAATGCATACGTGCATCTCGTGCAGCTCAGAGCTAACCTGCCTGCCACAGAAGTATTGACTACATCTGCCACGTGGAATATTTCTAGAGGTCCAGCTAGATATTTATGTTTCATGTTAATTGAGGCAATCCTAAAGTCTTGAGACATTCAATATTATGTACCATAGAATGTTACACCCTCCCACGCGCTCCACAGGGTCTATGTAAATTTTCAGATTTTCATTGTTAATTAATGCATTAAGGCATTCTGGAGTTCTCCGTAAGTACGTGGCCACAAGAAGGATATATAAGAATGCACCAGCAAGTGAAAATCATAACACAATGGTTTTCCGTCTCTCTTTCTACTTTGCTCTTGCTGTTCTTCTAGCCACTGTGGTGGATGCTTCGAATTCCATTTCTTTGACATCAGATGAGGATGTGGCCATCTGTAAGTCACTGTTTGCACGGTGGAAGCTGAATGAGAAGATAGGCTACCTGGTCGCAGACTCGTCTGGGAACAAGGCAACTGGGCTTGTGAAGCAGGCCGGGTCCCAACTTGCTCACACAACTGATGGTATTGTGTTTGATGGTGCAACATACATTTTCATGGGCACCACGCCCTCTGTCTCTGGGCAGACTGATTTTGCTGTTCATGCTTGGGTGAAGGTCCCACCCCGCATCAAGCAGGAACTGTGCGTCATCCAGCAACTCTCTGATCAAATCTATGGTGAGTGGTGGCTATGGATCCTCAATGGCAATCTATGGTTTACAGTGTACAATGGTGAATACCAGTTCAGCATTAAGGGAACAGTGCCAGTCATTGATGGAACTCACCATGTTGCTGCAGTCCGAAATGGTTGGGTCTATCTACGTTGATTCTAAACTTGATAAGTCACAGAACGGCTCCAAGATAGTCAACCTCAATTCCAACCTACCTGTCTCCCCCGTGACAACAAACGCTACTTTCATGGTGAACTCAAGGAGGTTCAGATCGTCAGTGCTGCTGTTGTGCCTGTGGGCTTCAACCCAATGTCTAGCTATGGAATCATGTAAGCTTATGCTCCTCTGACATGGATTCACATACGAAAATAAAGAGGAGCTGGTTTGTTATATTCTATGAAGTATGGCGTGCTTCTTATGAATTGAATGTAGAATATACATTTAGTTCCACAATCCAACAAAGATGTATGGACAGAGTGGCAGCATTCAACATGCGTGGCAGTGTTTCGCCAGAATTCAGCAGCTGAGTGTTGTTTCAGGGAATGGCATGCTCGTAACGCTTGCCTGGAATGGGCATTTGCAGCAGGCAATGATGCAACTGCAATGCCTGGACAACAGTATATCGATCTACTCGCTGAATAGGTACTTTGAGGGGCGTTTTAGACTCCATATAGAACAGTTTCAGAAGATGCATGTGAGAAATATGTCTTGGAATACCATCATCTGACAGAGCAACATTTTCATGGCTAAGATGGTCTTAAATTTTAATTCTTGTATTTGTTGTTTGAAAATAAATTTGTGTTATATCATGTCAATACTGAATTTAAACCTCTGGTCACTCTTGGACCTTATTACCCTTGGAGGGCCTCCGCGCTATAATTTTTCAAGTTTTATGTACTAAGCAGCTTTATTTTATTCTAAAAATGAAAAATAAAATAAAAAACAGAGAATTTTTTTTAATCATCTCTTGCTGGGTTGCTTGTTGTCGTTGTTGATCTAGAGGAGGTTCTGGTCCATGGAGTTTGGTAGCAATGATGTTGAGAGGTGACAGTGTTTGATGCAAGAGATTCATAATGTTCTTACCACTTTGCCTATATTGTCGCCCCCACCAGTACTGCTCAAACAATTCTTGCTCAGTGTGCTGATACGCCAAGGATCTGCACAGGAGAAAATGGGTCAGTGATGAACTAGTCAAATCGTTTGTTCTCACGCACCTGTTAAAGCACCAATTTGATCTCATCTTCTTTGTAGACCAAAAAACCCTGATCAAACCGGCACATCCCCTGATTTGTCTTGCACATTGATTTAAACTTGCATTTTCTAACAAGACAATGAGAATCCAACATAAGGAAGGTTGTAACAAGTGTAAAGCAGCGCATGCCTCCACGACATCATATCATCTTACCCCACTGGCGGCAGTGGCTCCAGGTCCGGTTCTTGACATCCATATCACCGCAAAGCCAAAGCTTCAACTGTGAGATTATACAGCTCAGGTATTCACACCCCGAGCCCTCATTTCCAAGCATTTTGAGCGAATAGTCCTGCCACGAGATGCTCAACCACCATGTTCTTCTTGGTTAACTGCATCATCCTCTCCTCAATAGTTCCCCTAGCACTGATTAGCGGAGCCTATATAGATCATAACCTGGACATATGAAAAAATTTGAGTAACACCATCTGGAACAATATTTAATACCTACTTTACCTACTTTGCTCGTCTGACCCCATGAGCACGAGCTTGCAAATCAGCATGTGGATTCCAGTCAGTAATGTTGATGAGACATGGTATCTGAGCCTTCACAGCTTAGAAACTCCACCTGCTGGTTAAGTACTGAGGCAGATATTTCTCTTATCCTTCACTGCCACCACCCCCAATTAATAATATTGTGTTCATTAAAACTAGATTGCATGATCTGGAAGGGGTTGCAGATCAGAAGTGAGGACCTTCCAGAAATTCATGATGGAACTGTCTCTGCTGCCCTTGTTCTCATGGATGAGAAATACAGACACGTTCTACTGGAACTAGTTTGAAAATTTCAATCGCATGCCCTTGAAATAATCTCAAAGGCTGTAAGAATTTCCTTAAAGCAAAATTTTATACTTGACCACATGGTAAAATCCTTTACTTTTAATTTGCATTCTCCTAATCTGTGGGCTCTAGAGCTATATTTCCAGTATGATAACGTTTTTGCTAAATGGCTGTGCAGGATTGTGTGGAGATCTCTTGAGGTGGACCAGACGCAGTTTTTTTTAAAACAATTCCATTCATACTTATGTTTTACATTAATGTAACGTAATGTTTTAGATTGGATTTATAAACTCCATTTAGAGATTTTGTTTGGAAGCCCAAATTGCTTTTACATGAGTCATTCCATCAAAAGGCGTGTACTTGTAGATCACGAAGTTGCCATCGTCCTGAAGGGATGCTGCATAGCTTGCTGTAGCATCGTCAGCAATTTCTGACTCCCATGCTGGATTTTCATTCTCTCGCTTGTACACAGCTAAGACACCATTCTTGTGAAGGACGGCATAACAGTTGCTGCCTTTGCCCCAAGAATCACTTGCCCATCTAGCCACATTCTGGCTATCATAGAGGACAAGGTTGCAATCGCTCTGCATGACCAGCGTGTACCATGCATTTGCTGACCTGAGATAGTGATTGGTGTATATGTACGTCCCATCCTCGTACTTGTCCGCATAATCAACCTTGCTGAACAGGGTATTGAATTTGGGATCGCAGTCCCCTTGCACATTAGGTCCGGCAAGTTCAGGTGCAAGCGCTCCTGGCTGTGCAGCAGCACGGGCACCAGTACTGGTATCACCAGTTTCCTGACACCGAATCTGCAAGATGTGTTCGGTACCTACAATGCTAGCAAATCCACCTCTGATGGCTCGTTCCCACAAGTGTGGCAGGAGATCCACAGCATACTTATTCAGCCGCTCCCATGGTACCAAGTTTAACCACTGTGGGTCAGATGAACACGACGCTTCGTTCAACAACCAAGCCTCAACCCAGACACTTCTTCCCTCGACATTGATAATCTGATCTACAAGTATTTGGCCAGCATAGTAAGCGTCCCGATAAGGAACATTTCGTAAGAAATTCACGACTTCATTAATGAGCACACCGGCCCCTTGCTGAGTTATTCTACCAGGTGACCCTGTAGCGTTTATCGACACCCCATGAGAAACAACCAAACACAGGCATAGCATGGATGCCACAAGAAGGAGAGACATGGTTTCTCTATTATGGAAATGCATGCTC